AGTGGACTTTGCTTTTTCTCCTCCTGAGTGTCCAGGAAAAGATGTGGGCTAACCAGATTGGCGCTGTCTGGTTCTAGCCAGCACTTCAAATCTGGTTCATTCAGGTTAGATTTCCTGCTAAGAACCTGCATTTCCACCCAGATATACTGAATCTGAATCCACATTTAAATAAATCTCTAGGTGATAAGAACCATTTGTGAATTTGTTAAAATGTGGGTTTGGATTCAATATATCTCAGGTAGAAATGCAAATTCTTGGCAGGGGCTCAAACCAGAATGAACCAGGTTCAAAGTCCTGGTTCTAACCCTCCTCCTCAAACCTCTTAAATGATCTAAGATGAAATGGCTTCCCATCTCAGGGTTTCAGTTTTCCCAAGCGCAGTGGCAGTCCTGTGGGGACAGACAGGAAAAGCCATGACGTGAAGATTGTACATTTTCTCCTTGCTATGGTGCTCACATAGGCTAATGTGCTGGACTGCAAGGTCGGTTTGAACCCAAGGACAGCGATTCAAGCTCACCAGCCACCCCTCAGAAACCCCATACAGGATTTCGGATCTGACTCCATGGCATTTCACAACAACAACATGGGACATCTCAGGAAAGCTCACCTAGAAAAAACTCTGGGGGCCAACGCTTCCCTCACCTCTCCCTCCCCTCCTTCCTGCCTCAGACAGGGCAAGTCAAGAGGGACCCATAACAGCAGGACACCAGGGGCCTGACTCATGAGCCCTGGGCCAGGGCTTTCTATGGAGCCAGCCATTGGCAAGAAGAGAGTAAAACTTCGCCCTAGTTCTCTATCCCCACGCCCTTCCCAGGGGCACAATGCTTGCTTTTGTTGGCAAGGATTGTGTGTCCAAGCCCTTTTCCACTGAGGAAGCCTTTGTTAGGAACAGGTGACATTGGAGCACAGCTCAGAGTCTGGTCCAGAAGGTGGGGAAATGGCTGGGGGGCCCCCATTTCTAGAGATAACAGGGCCAAAGCAAAGACTCACAAGCATCAGCTTGGGACCCTCCTCCGAAGGCAAGTTCTGAGCTTTCCAATCTTTTGTCTTGGAAGTTTTCAGAGGGGTAAATGGCTTAAGCATTTCTCTTGTAAACAGAGCCCTGAACACGTCTCCAGCCCCTTTTCTTCAGTCCAAGGTGTTGTTGAGAGCCGGTGTGGAGCATGAGGCACCAGGTTTGCAGAGCATGAAGCCAAGCAACCAATGGGAAGCCAAGACGCATGCATGAGAAAGCCAAGGCTAGGGAAGATTGAAAGGAGAGATGTGCTCCGGATGAAGGAGCCAGGGATACCCGTGGTGACACTTGGCTACAGGGAAGGAGAGGGCCCAGAGGCAGGACAAAGTATTCCTGGTGAGAAGAGAGTGGGGCAGGAAACCAAACTAGGAGGTCAGCCCTGGCCAACTTTGAGTGAGCCCCCAGGCAGGAAAGAAAAGATACACTGTTAGAACCAATGACTCAGGAAGAAACCCTGGTCTGGCAGGTCAGATAGACAGAACTAGCGGTGTCTGTCGCTCAAACACTGGTGAGGTCACAATTCAGGGAAGACTGAGTGGGTTGGGGCTCAGGCAAAACTCCAGGATTTCATCCTGCGGAGAAAGGCTGACCCCCCAGCCTCTGCATCTTTGAGTATAAACAAAAGGCTACATAGAGGGTTGCAGTTAGTTGGTCTCTCATCTAATACTCTACCTCCACTTTACTGGAGTCCTGGTGTAGTGATGTATAATAAGCACTGGACCACAAGGTCAACTTGAACTGCAAGGTGGCAGTTCAAGCCCAACAGCCGCTCCTTGGAAACCCTCTACAGGATTGATGTGAGTCGGAACTGACTCTGGCACTTAACAACAATGACTTTACAGTAAGGTAAACTGAATCTGGAGAGGAAAAGGGGCCGGCCTCTGGCCACACAGCTGGCTTCACCTACAAGGCACCTGCTCTCTTGTTCAGAAGCACAACTCTTGTAGAGAATCAGCCCACTTACTTCCTTGGTTCATTCCTGAAGATGACGATGAGACAGTTTGGAAACACGAAGATAAGATGGAGAGAAAAGGCATTTCCAAATAACTGGACCCTCTGATGTGGCTTGGATATAATAAACCTTGCATCTCTGCAGGCTTTAATGTTTATGATTATGATTCCCCTTTGACAGTGGAGATACTGAAACTCAGCGGTAATACTTGCCCTTGGCCACATGGCCCATCCTTGGCAACGTTCAGTCTAGAACAGTCTCTAGACTCTCAATATTGTCTGTCTCTACTTTCTCAGCACTTCTCAGTGGGTTCTGCTTCTAGCTTTACTACTAAAGGTGATGTGGTCTGGGAAATAGCTTTGGAACCTGCTTCCTTAAGGCACAGGCCCTCCAGAACTTTGGCGTCATTTCTTGCATCCTACAAGCACTGCTTGAACCAGGTGCTGGGACCATAGAGATGACCTCTCTTCTCACAAAGGGAGAAAGCAGACCAGTGGATACACCTGGAAGCCAGCAAGGGTGTAAGACTAAAAGAGCTCACATGGGGCAGAGCATATAGGAACCTGAGTCTTCTCTCATGGGCCAGGAGTTCCCAAGGGAAGTCTGCTCAGAGAATTTCAACCCACACGTTGTTGTTGTTAGGTTCCATCAAGTTGGTACTGACTCATAGCGACTCTATGCACAACAGAACGAAACACTGCCCTGGGCTAACTTCACAATTGTTGCCATGCTTGAGCCCATTGATGCTGCCACTTTGCCAATTCATCTCACTGGGGGTCTTCCTCTTTTTCTCTGACCCTCCACTTTACCAAACATGATATCCCTTTCCTGTGACTGGCCCCTCCTGACAATATGTCCGAAGTATGAGAGACGAAGTTTGGCCATCCTGGTCTCCAAGTAGCATTCTGGCTGCACTTCTTCCAGCACAGATCTGTTGGTTCCTTTGTCAGTCCATGGTACTTTCAACAACACCATACATGGTACTTTCCTCCAACACCATAATCCAACAGCATCAATTCTTTTGGATTGCTTGAGATAGTATTTGCTTGCAGATTGCGAAGATTTACAGAATAAAGCAAGACACACCCAGTTTCTATCGGCATAGGCTGGTTGCCCACACTACTGGGCTGGTCTCAGCACCATATCCTCTCAGCATCCACTCTGCTTGCCACACCTTTAGGTTTTCCCCACCTTGAGTTGTGGCTAGTGCGTCTGGTGCTGGAGTGGAAGTGAACGGTTAGTAGAGTGGCTATGAGTCGGGTTGCTAACCTCAAGGTCAGCAGTTCAAAACTATCAGCTGTTCCACAGGAGAAAGATGAGGCTTTCTGCTTCCATAAAGACAGAAACCCTATGCAGGGTCGCTATGAGTCTAAACCCACTCCATGGCAAACCACCACCACCACCTACGTGCTAGTAAGTCCCTGGGGCTCCCAAGTGATTAGAACTCAAGTGCTAATCTAAAGGCTGGCAGTTTGACGTCACCTAGAAGGAGTCCTGATACTTTGGTTAGAATCCCAAGGCCAGCAGTTCAAGCCCACCAGCCGCTCCTCAGAAACCCTATATGGGGTTGGAACAGACTCGACAGCACTTAACAACAGTCAAGAAAACCCTATGGAATGTAACATGAGGTTGGAATCGATCTACAACAGGTTTGATTTACTATGTGCGGATGTGGTGCTGCAGGATAAGCACTGGACTGAAAGATGGTTTGAACTGCAAGGTTGGTGGTTCAAACTCACCAGCCGCTCCTCAGAAACCCTATTCAGGATCACTATGAATCAGAACCTGCTCAAAGGCACTTCACAACAATGTGGTGTTGTGGGATAAGCACTGAATTTCTAACTGCAAGGTCGGTGGTTCAAACCCTCCAGCTGCTCCTCAGAAACCCAATACTGAGTTGCTATGAGTTGACTTGAAGGCACTTAAAAACTATTTTTTCAGATGAAAGTGAGGAGCAGAGATATGGTTTCAACCAGAGATGCCCTAGGCATTCACCGCACCCTGTTGCAGTGGGGAGCTGTAATGTGCAAAATGGATAGACCTACAGCGCAGCCAGAGTGCTCCTTGGAGGCCAGGATGGCTAAGCTCTGTCTCTCATACTTTGGACATATTGTCAGTAGGGAACAGTCGCTGGAGAAGGATGTCATGCTGGGTAAGATGGAAGGACAGAGAAAAAGAGGAAGACCCCCAAAGAGATGGATCAGTCAGGTGGCATCATTGATGGGGTCAAGTGTGGCAGCAGTAGTGAGGTTGGCCCAGGATCGAGCATTGTTTCGTTCTGCTGTGCATGGGGTCGCTATGAGTCGGTTCCGACTTGATGGCACCTGACAACAACAACAACAAGAGGTCAATGGTTAGTGGGGCATGTAGGCCATCATGAGAGACAGCGGCTGGCACCCTCTCTCCTGAGACTCAAGGTCTTCCTCCCTATTGTAGTTGGCCATACCTTCCGCCAGTGACTGCGGAACAGCAATGAGGCATGGGACCAAGAGAAGTGCAGGACCGAAGCGGGCCCTGCGGCAGAGCAAGTGGGGTGCAGAGGCTAAGGAGAGAAGATTCTGGTTGTCATTCTGGCAGAAGAGTCTCAGGGGACACTGGCTCCGTGCGCCCAGAGCCCCTTCACCGGCTCTGCGTGGCACTTCCGATCCCCGGCCGGGCCACTCGCCACTCTGCGCCCCAGCCCCGCCCCGGACCGTGGCGCCCCCTGTTCCGACCCGCTCCCGGCCCCGCCTAGCCCGAAGTGCCCACCCCCAGCCCGCCACACCGCCCCCTCGCCAGGCTCCCGCCGGGTCCCAGAGCGTCCGCGGCAGTTGGCACTGAGGGCGCTGGCGCTGCAGTGGCTCCCACTCCCGCCGGCAGCCTCGGGCACCGGGAGCCAGCGGTCCAAGCGGGCGGGAGACGACGGGGACGGGAGGAGGCGGCGGCTGAGGCCAGCCAGCCGTTCCCGGGCGTCCCACGGCGCTCCCCAGCTTGGTCTGCAGCCGGGGGCGCATGGCTCGGGCGCCGGCCCAGTCCATGTCCCCGCGTGGCCACATGGCTCCGCTTTGCGTCCTGCTGTCCTGCCTGCTTTCCCTGCACTGCGCGCTCTGCGCCGCCGCGGGCAGGCGGACCCCAGGTGCGTGCGTGCATGCGGGCGCGCGGGGGCGCGCGGGGTCCGGTGTGCGCGCGGGGCAGGGTGGATCGAGGGAGCCGGAGCGAGCGAGCGAGGGTTCACGCGGGAGCGAGGCAGTGTGCACACTGGGTGGGAAGTCACTTTTCTCCGTGTGCCAGCGACACTGTCCTGCACTTCCTCTCCCTTTCTGACACAGAGGGAGGGAGAGACCCCAGTATAGGGCTTGGGAAGCTGGCGGGAGGCGGGAACACAGAGTGTCTTTGTAGGAGTTGCGTGTTTGTCTCTTTGTGTCTCTCTACATCTCTGTTCGTATTCCTTTCTCTCTTTGTGTGTCTCTCTGTCAACCAACTTGTGTGTACTTGTGTGTGTCTGGCAGGTGTCATGGTCCCCCACTTCAGGGAACACAGAGCACCCACACTTATGTACAGAAACCGACTCTTAACCTCTGCCCTCCCCCACCCAGTATGCCCACATTTCTCCTCCTCCTCTTTGTCCTCTCTCCTCCCTGCCCCCAACCAGATACGCTCCATCCTCACCTTCTAGGGTGGGTGGTTCTCCTGGTGGTTCTGGGCTCCAGCCATTTATAGACAGGGTACCTTAAGACTGCCTGTGAGCTCTGACCATGCACCAAAGTGGGGTTCCTTTTACAGCCATCTTGGGGATCTTCTGCTGTAATGCATATAAGCAGGGGAGAGTAAACCCCTCTACACATAAGTACCTCGGTCATAGGTGATTTTCTGTTCACATTCACTTCTGGGCTTGATCAGTGCTGGAAAGGGGGAGGCTGTGTGGAAATGAAAATTCCTCCCATGAATCACCAGGCCTGGAAGCCAGGGAGCTGTCATTCGAGTTCTGCTGGCGGGCCCAGGGAGAACTGTGTGAGGATGGGGCCGCTGGCGTGAGGCCTGGCGCATGGGGCCATGACCTCACTCTAATTCAGCCTGAGTGGGCAGGTCGCTCTGTGTGCATCCTTGTATTTTTGAGGATCTATATTTACCCAGTTGGGACTGGGCCATGTAGAAATCTCCACTGCTCCTGTGCGTCTTAAAATAAGTTTTCTTTCTAAACTTAGAAAAACATAGAACCCCTGTCTTCCCTCTGCAGCTTCTCTGGTCTCCTAGACACGTGCCCTGGGTTTCTAGGTGTGTTTGTTTTGCCAGCTGCCTTCTTGGGAACATGGTTGGGGAAGGTCCTACCCCAGGCTGGGCTGGTGACTTCAGCCCACTAAGGGAGTAGGGACAAATCTGGTTTTACCTCATTGCCCTGGGGGCTTCCGGGGAATTCTAGTCCTTTCCTAGGCATTGGGGGCATTTATAGCTCGAATGCCATTGCTAGAGTAACAGGGTTTGACATCACCCTATTCCTTCTTTTAAGTTTAAAAAAGAAGTCCCTGAGTGTTACAAAGGGTTCATGGTTTGAACCCAACCAGAAACACCTCAGAAAAAGGGCCTAGAATTTGCTTCTGACCAGTCACAGCCTTGAAAACCCTGTGGGGCGCAGTTCTACTGTCCAACCCATGGGGTCCCCCTGAGTCAGAATCAATGACGATGGATTTGGGGTCTGGGGAGCACTTTTTGTCCATAAAATATTTAAACACTATTCATCCTACTGTGAAGAACTAGGTACTCAGGAAACAATGGATGGAAAACAGATGAACTTTGATCCATGCAGTTGACATTCAGGGTTGTGGCCCCAGTCCTCTGACCCTTTGTGATTTCCCCCTTCTCCCTATGCAGACAGAACTGAAGTCACTCTTCATTTACTTCCAACAGAACGTGGCCTCTCTGGAAAACTCCATGACTATGGTGTGACGGTGCCATTCAGCACAGATTTCCGGGGCCGCTTCCTTTCCCACGTGGTGTCGGGCCCAGCAGCAGTCTCTGCAGGAAGTCCAGTGCCGGGTAGGCCACCTCCACCACCATCACACTCCAGGCACCACCGGGTGCCTCGCAGCCCCCTGCGCCCCGACCGAGGGAACCACTCCCTCTACTTCAATGTCACTGTTTTTGGGAAGGAACTACACTTGCACCTGTGGCCCAATCGGAGGCTGGTGGTACCAGGAGCCTCAGTGGAGTGGCAGGAGGACTTCCGGGAGCTCTTCCGGCAGCCCTTGTGGCAGGAGTGTGTCTACACTGGAGGTGTCACAGGCATGCCGGGGGCAGCTGTGGCTATCAGCAATTGCGATGGATTGGTAAGGGACAAACCTCTTGTTGAGTTGCATTCTCCCCGCCACACCCCCACTGCTACCCTGGAGGCTGAGCCAGGCCGACATGGTTTCTTCTTGGCTTGCATGTGCTTGGGATTCCTGTGGGTACATGGCAGTTAGGGCCAAGTCAGGGACCGTGCTGCTTTCCAGAGTGAAAACCACACTGCTCGGCTCCAGTGCGAACTGGCTGAGTTGGGATGGTTCCTTTCTCTCATCCATCCCTTCATCATCCATGGGACCCATCTGGACCACAGCTTACTTGGCTGGGATCTTTGAACCCAGACAAACCCAGGACTTGGAAAGGTGGGCTCTGGTGCTGAAGTTTGAGTCCTGTTGAGCCACTTGCTAGCTGTTAAGGACTTGGATCAGTTACTTAACCTTTCTGTGGTTCTCTCCTTTTGCACAAAATGAAGATTTATGTATTCACTCCGCATATATGTACTGCATGGGTCCTATGTACCCAGTACTGCTTTAGACACAGGGGATGTGATAGTGTCTGCGCCCTGCCCTCAAGGAGCCGCTGTGCCAGTGATGATAATGATAAGACCCTCCTCGGCAGGTAATACGTGGGTGGCACATACCTGGCAGGTGGACAACACTCTGCGTTAATGTCGCTGTTATTCTTATTCTAGCTCCTTCTTCTCCCAGGAATCTCTCTTCCCAAAGCCTGCTGGCTTTTTCTGCTGCTCTGATGTTCGCTTTCTTAGCACCTCCCCCTCCTGTCAGGCACAGGGAATGCCTTGCTAAGTGGCTCTAGATGGTAAACCAGAAAGTCATGGGCTCGGCCTTTTTCCTCTCTCAGCTCGCTCTAGGTCTCCTTCCCCTTGCTGCCTGTCCTCAGGGGGGTCAGTCTGTCTCTCGGGAGCCTGTGTGGCAGCCCCTCAGTCCTAGAGGGTGGCTCTTTCATTGGTCTCTACTTTGGCAGAGGCAGCAGATATGAGTTAATTAATGCATCCCAAGAAAGAAGCTGCTTGTCCTCTGCCATTCAACTTGATTAGGGGTGAGTCAAATGGAGAGGCTGATAAGGGGCAAGGGGGGGCTCCCTCACTGACAGGGCTGAGTGGACTTCTTACTGTCTTTCACCTAACAGAGGTGTATTCTGCTGAAAGTGGTGGCTGCCGGTATTTCTCAACTTTTTTTTTTTTTCCTTTCCCCGTTATCCTCCTCCTAAAGAGTCCTGTTGGGGAGCTGTCGGATCAGTCCTGAACTGCTAGCTGTAAGGTTGAAGGTACAAATCAACAAGAAGGAGCCTTTGGGGGTGTTGGTGGTATAGTGGTAGAATTCTTACATTCCATACCAGAGGCTTCTGGTGTAGTGGGTATGTGTTGGGCTGCTTAGCACAAAGTCCAAAGTTCGAACCCACCAGCTGCTCTGCAGGAGAAAGATGTGGCAGTCTGCTCCCATCAAGATTTACAGCTCTGGAGACCCTGTCCTTTAGGGCTGTTGTGACTCAGGATTGGTTTTGGGTTTTAGGCAGGCACTGCCCATCTGTCGTAGTTGCTATGACGCTGACAGGTTTCAGTGAAACTTCCAGACTAAGGCAGATTGGAAGGAGGGACTCGCTGATCTACTTCTGAAAATCAATCAGGCAATGAAAACTCAATGGTCCCTTAAACCGATCATGGAAAAGGCACAGGACTGTATACCTGGGGTCCCTAAGCAGCTAGTAACAACAACAAGGAAACTTTAGACAATTTTTTCCCTAGTCGTTCCTTCAGCATGCAATTTAATACCATACCAGCACTCCAGTCTCTGCCTCTCTCTTCACATGGCTGCCTTCCCTCGGCTTCTGTCTCTCGGTGTATCACTTCTGTTTTTATAAGGACATCATGGTATTGGATCAGGTCCCACTCTATTATAGCATAGCTTCATGCTGACTAAACCCAAAAACCCTGTTTCCAAACAGTGTTACATTTACAGGTACTAGGGGTTGTTGTTATTGTTGTTGTTAGGTGCCATCGAGTGAGTTGGTATAGATTAAGAGTGACCCGCCTTATGCAAAACACAACAAAACACTACCCGGTCCTCTGCCAACCTCACAATCATTACTACGTTTGAGTCCACTGCTGCTGTCTCTGTACCAGTTCATCTTGTTGTGGGGGTCTTCCTCTTTTCCTCCGACCCTCTACTTTACCAAACATGATACGCTTCTCCAATGACTGGTCCCTCCTGAAAATATGTGTGAAATATGAGAGACGATGTCTGGCCATCTGGCTTCCAAGGAGCATTCTGGATATACTTTCAACACAGATTGTTTTGTTCTCTTAGCAATTCATGGTACTTGTTATATTCCCCTCCGACACCATAACTCAAAGGCATCAATTCTTCTACGGTCTTCCTTATTCACTGTCCAGCTTTCGCATGCATATGAGGATATTGAAAATACCATGGCTTGGGTCAGGCACACCTTAGTCCTCAAACTGATTACTTTGCTCTTTAGCACTTTAAAGATTTACCTAATGCAGTATGCTGTTTGATTTCTTGAGTGTGAATGTTGATGGTTGATCTGAGCAAAATCAAGTCTTTGACAATTTCTATCTTTTCTCCATTTATATGAATGCTGTTTATTGGTCCGGTGATGAGGATTTTTGTTTTCTTTACATTGAGATGCAACCCATACGGAAGGCTGTAATTTTGATTTTTTAATCCGTAAGTATTTTAAGTCTTCTTGACTCGCAAAGGAGCTCTGGTAGCATAGTGGATTATGAGCTGAGCTACCAACTAAAAAGGTCAGCAGTTTGACTCTACCAATCGCTCCATGGGAGAAAGAAGAGGCTTTCTGCGCCCATAAAGATTTACAATCCCGGAAACCCTGTACAGGGTTGCTATGAGTCGGAACCGACTCACGGCACACCACCACCACCACCTTGGCTTTCATCAAGCAAGGTTGTGTCATCTGCATACCGTGGGTTGTTAATGAGTCTTCCAAGCCTGATGCCATGCTTATCTTCAGCTTCTCGGATTATTTGCTTAGCATACAAATTGAATAAATATGGTGAAAAAATACAACCCTAGTGCACACCTTTCCTAATTTTAAACCATTCGGTGTTCCCTTGTTCTGTTGAAGCAACTGCCACTTAACCACCAGTACCCCCAAAAGGCTCCTGGCCCTCTAGCAGGGGTGGGGGGTTCTCAACATATAGTAATTTAACATCTACTTGGTTGGTTTTCCAGAACATGGTGGGCACTCAGTGAATTGGAATGATGATCATTTTTTAATTGGGCCGTAATCGGATGAGTAGAAGTTTGTTGGGGCAGCGGTGCAGAGCGGCTCTCAGGCAAAAGAAAGCTTGAGTAAGAATTGATGACAGGACAAAGGATGGATGGCTTGACAGATGGACATGGGTCATGGATTTCAGAAGATGTGCTGGGCAGATGGGCCTTGACTTGACCTTGAAGGAAGGGGAGAGAGGAGTACCAGATGGGGATACCAGGAGTAACAGGGGCTCGCCTGTTATAAAAAAGACACTGGACTGGAAGTTGGGAGACACTTTTTGCACAGCTGTATGACCCTGGACAAGTTGCTCTCCCTCTCTAATCCCCATAAACTTCCCTAGTATCTGGAATGAATGATGTCAAGCTCCTTCCAGCTCTGACATTGGTACTTTGTGATCATGAGGCTTGCCTGGCTGGAGTAGTTTGAAGTTTGACCCCTATTAATGGAGTTCTCCCTCCCCTGGTGGATACTGGGTGCATACTGGTGTCAGTTCCGGACAGGGCTGTAGGTGCGGAGAGGGTGGAGAATTTCCCAGTGTGAGAGTCAGTAGTCTGAACAAACCCCCTTCTGTATGGACAAGAATGGGTGCTGGTTGGCTCTCAGTAGTCTGGTGAGACGTTTGGTGTTTAAACTGGTGTCTCTATCCTCATTTCCACTGGGACCTGCAGTTCTGGGGAGATACCATCATCCTCCACTTCTGCTGCCTTGTAGAGCCGCTGCCCTTGGACCCCTGAGACAGGTGTGGTTGTATGTTCAGGGGTTAATTGAGGCCTAAAGGTGATCTCCCTTCCCGCCCACTTTCTGGAGGGCCTGTGTGTGTCACAGTTGCTGCTGGTGGTGGGGTGAATTTCAGGAATGAGAAAACCAGAGTCCCTGTCTGGATGAATCCTAGGCGAATGCGGGGTCCCAGACCTGGGTGCAGACAGATTTCAATCCTGTAAGTAATCGACTTGACAGCGCTAACAACAACAACAACAACAAAGGGGCAGCAGAAGCAGCAGGACTAACTAATTTTGGTTAGGGCATCTAGCGAGGTTGCCTGGATGAGGTGGCATTGGCTTAAGACGGTCAGAGAACTGCTGACCCAGGCAGGCGTGACGATGTTTGGGGGTACACAATAGGGGATGTGGGAGAGGAACAAAACAAAAATATGTTTTACTTTGAGATGCTGTCAGGCCTTAGGGTCCCCAGACTGGGAAACAATCTAATGAGCATCTCTTCACAGAATTTTCCTTAGGGTGCCCTGCCAATCAATGCATGGGTCCTCCCCAAGACCCTGGCCCTCAACCTCTGTAATGGCTTTAGCCAAGCAAGGAGGGCCTGGGTCATCTTGGGTTTCCTTCAGACCCTCTGTCTGTTTGTGGCTCTGGATTCCCGGGAGGAACATGAGAAGCTGGGGTGGAGGCCAGTTTTCCGTAGGTCCTGAAGGATTCAGCAGAGTGGGGTCCCCCTCTCCCAGTGAGACTGTGTGACCCTTCTAGAGCTCAGAGCACAGCTTTTTGCAGGTCGCCTCCTGTGCTGTCCTCCTCCCCTGGTGCCCTGGCCTGGCCTGGCTCGCCCTGCACTGCCGAGTTGGGGCTTGGCCTCCAGTGCTTTCTGAGTCACGGGCCTGGCGAGGGAGCAGCCACACGTGTAAGATTTGTCACCATCTGGTTCCTCTTTCTCTGCAGATCCCGCATTTTTGACGGGTTACACTGAGTAAAGCCCTGGAAGATTGTGTGTGGGGGTAGGTGGGGGGTGGGGGGATGGGCTCTGGCTCCTATTCTGG